TTTAAGATTTGTATGAAAATTTGTTTAATTAAATATTTAATATTAAATAAATTTAGATTATTAATAAAATTTTATAATTTTTAAGTAATTTTATTTAGTTAATATATTAAAATTTTATAATAAAATAATAATGATGTAGTATTAATTTAGAGTTATTGTAAAAATAATGTACTAGGCATTAGATATTTTATTTTTATAGTAATTTAATGTATTTTGTTGATTTTATTTAAATTATCAACTTAAATATTAATTTTGAATTTAAAATAAATTATATAATAATGATTTTATTGATGGGAATAACATTATAAATATAATAAGCGAGTGAGCGGCGTGGCGAATCCACTCCGCGCGACCGATCGAGGTTGCCGCCTCAGATCCAGATCGTCGCGTGAGACGCATCCTCCCGTCCGCCAGGTCCACCTAGGGGGAGTTTTGTCGGTTATGTTAGCTCCGGGTTACCCTGGGGTGGAACGCCGTGGTCTCTCACGTCAGGGTGTGCGCGGGATCGTTTACACCGCGCAGAAGGGAGGCTGACGGCTCGTTTGGCAGTTTTAGTTTGTACAGTAAGTTTAAAAGCTAATAATAAATATTTTTGTTTGTTACTCTCGGAACTAGCGCGTGTTGAAATTCATTTCATTTCATGAAATCAGAATTCTTTTTCGAATATCTTTTGCAATTTTTTTATTCTCTAGATTCTTGTCAAGAGCCACCATACAGCGACTAAGGTGGAGAAAAATACAAGGGTGCATTTTAAACGTAATGCTCAATTTATTGCTTAACAATAAATTAAATAAACAAAAATAGAGGAAAATAGAAATTACAAATAATTAAATTATATTGCGTATTTCGAAGTTTAATAAAGTATCTTCATTGTTTCGATGTAAAATTAGCTAACAATATTTTAGAAGCGTCTAGAGAAAAATAACGACGTACGAGATAATGGATTCTAAATACTTTATTCGCCATTAATTCACCAGTTTAAACATCGAAGCGAATAATAATACGATAATAATAATAATTTCATATTCATGAATTCAATGTCATCGAAGTATTTGAGATGTAACAGCTCATTTCGTAGTGAAATTGAAACTACGTTCTTGTTACCGATATTATCGTTGTTAAACTTTGAATTGGAGTTTCAAAGTTAGTTCGATTGAGTTGGAGTGTCTTGAAAGTAGTCATGGGAACGCGGTACATACGAAGTTTGGGCGTTTGTTTTCGTCGTGATGGGTAACAGCGTTTAACTTGCTACAAATTGCGACTGGTGACAGTCTGATTGCAGCCGTTGAGAAATGTTGTTACGTTGACATTTTCGAATTGAATATTTACATGAGGTTATAATGGATCGAAAGTACCCGAGGGTTGAAATGGGTGTGGGAGCTTTTCATCATCCGCCGAAAGCAAAATACAGTGAAGAAACAAAAAATCTGATCAAACGTTAGCAAGCTTTCTCTAAATTCGCTTTGATTTAATATTGTCACAATATTCGTTGTCAAATTTGAATATTATTTGGTATATTTCTATTACAATTTTTCATTTTTTGTTCTTAGTTTTAATGGAAGAGTCTAAGGTGAGCATGATGCAAAGAAAATTCATTCAGGATGCTGTCGACAAAGGCGAACCTTTGCCCCTTTCCACTGAAAGATCGAACAAAAAAGCGGATAAGCACAACGTTCAATATCAGGTACGATTTTTAAATTGTTTAAAGAACTGTTGGTTAATGATACTGTCGAATACCATTATAAGAAATCCCGTTTCTAAACAATAATTATTAAGAATAATCATACATCAGGTTCTAATGCCTACTATTTGGAAAAAACGGACCCAAGATATGATTGTTAAAAGTGGGGCATACGAGAGAGAACAATATAGAAGAACAACTCCCCTGCGTAAGAATATGTATTTTGAATTATTATGATTCTAATAATTACAGTACAATTACTTTCATTTTTTTACATCGGTTAAATTAATCAATAAATGAAGTTCATACATAATCGATAAAAATGGAAAGTGTTGTAAGCACTACATATTTAAATCTCATCAATAATCGTAATTATGTTTAAATTGAAACAACATTTTACTCAGTTTTATAAAGCATTCAATAAAGAATGTGTGGTATCGTTTTACAAAGTAATATCAACGAAAGTAATTTATATTATAGTTCAAACTTGACCAGATTTGAAAATTTGTAAAAGAACTCAGAAGTACATATTTATAGGTCACTCTAAAATTCATTTTCTACCTATGCGGTTTTTATTCTTCAAACTGCAGCAAACAAAGAAAAGCAGAAGCGACACTTGGCGTGCATGATGGCGTACGGAAAAGAAATACCGGAAACTCCCCGCGATTCATCGGTTCTACAAAGAATAAAACAAGAATCGCGTCGCCCTAAGAATACTGATGCAATTGATGTCTGTAAGTAATCGAAAGACCGTCCATTATTTTATTTTCACGTTAAACACGTGCCTTCCTTTTGTTTAGTGGTAGGAGGTATACAGGAGAGAATGGAATTTTTGAGCGAAATGGAATGTCTCGGACTAGGGAAGAAATATCGGCCGATTATACATCAAGAAATCGCTCATAAATTGCGATTAATTGAATCCATAGACAAACAAAAATCGAAGGAAATTCGGAAAGAGATCAGACTACTTGAGAAGCCATTACCGAAACCACTCCCGTTGGGCGAATTAGGTCCAGATTAATATTTTTTCTCAATATTTTGTACGAGACAAACATTAGATAGAATAAAGTGCATACGTGGGGTGACATTGAATTTTGGTAGAGTTATGAAATATTTTAATAGAAATATTTTAAGAACCCTTGTTACAGTGTAAGTTCCAATGAGATCAGAGAACAAAGTTTTTGAAAATAGAAGTTTTGGCTGGAATAGAATTTCTGAATTATAAAAATGAAAATGAAAATAAATTGTTTCCGATGATGGAAACAGATATTATATTCCTTTATGTTTTATCATTTTTATTCATTTACGTTATACAATTACGTAATTCTTTTTTTCAATTGTTTATAAATCAAAATGTATGATAGTGTAATGAACTAGAAACGTGTTACACGTAAAATATTGAAATTGTGAGAGAATGTTTTGAGGGTATGGAAATGTTTACTCTCTTACACCTACATCACATAAAAAAAGTGTATTTATTATTGTAGATACCGGAAATAAATGATTGAATACAAATAATTTGTTTCTAAATATATAAAAATAGCGTCATTACACAAAGTGGCAAAATGCTGAACCTTGTAGACAAAATTACCAACAGTTAATCTTGGCTAACAGTTTGAGCCTTTTGCCACCACGTGCAATGGCGCTATTTTCATATTTTAAGGAGCAGATGATCCGTTCCGAATTTGAAATTGTATTTTACGGCAATAGCGGTAATCATTATTTATTCCTTTATTTTGTAACAATAAATAAATTCACTTTGTATGATATAGATGCAGGAGACTTTTTTAAATATTTCCGTACCTTCCAAATATGTTTTTGAACCCTAAATTATATACCATTTGTTATTCTAAATAAGAACACTTTTTAAAAAGTTTCCAAAGAGAAATTCTTCTTATTTCTACTCAAAAAAATTCCACAGGGATAGATTGTTCTACAATATTTCTGTCAATTCGCCAATCTTAAAAATTTCATATTTAATGAAATAAAAATTGGAAAGTTGAGATATACGATATATTGAATACTTTGTAGATCCTATCCAAATTTTTTAGTACATTGAATATATGTGTATATTATAATCTACAATTTGATATTATTATATATAGTTTTTTTTTTTACTTTTATATGTATACTTATGGGTGACAGAACAGCTCGAGTGTTAAACGAAACGTATAAGTTCAAATGTTAGTTCTTTAGAACCGACAGACGGTTGCTCATGTCGATTCCCCTTTCATTCGTAAAGGAATCCTCGCAGATCCAAATTTCCCGCGCTCGCACAGTGTCGCGTACGCGTAAGTGGGACGTATTTTAATACGCATGCGCGGCGGGAGAAATAAGAACGCTCGGTTGGAGAAATCGTGTATTTAGTTGTCAGTGGTCCGGCGCACGGCGATGGCGTGTGTTGTTGGTGGTTTCGCGATCGTACCTCGACACAAAACACCGTCTGTTCGAAAAACATAACGCGCGTGTGTCGTTAATCGTCGACATAAGAACGCAGCTCGGCAAACAGCGACTGCTGTTTCGACGAGCATCAGGTGCAACGATCTAGCCGGGATCCCGGATGATCTACAAGTGATCCAATATGGCGTCGACCGATCTGTCGTTCGGTAAATGATGAACCCGTGTACCGTACGCACCTTTGACAAGGTCCCCCTCGAGGTCGTCCGGTTTTTAAAAGCAGCTCGTGCCCCCTTTCAACGCGACGGACCACGCTCACACACGCTCACTCTACTTCAGCGCATTTTTCCTCGAATCTCGCAGATTTTCGATGATCGTGCGAAACATGCTCGATGATTGAAATCCCCGCGTTTCCAGTTGTTGATCGTTTCGTAGGATATTCTGACAATTTACTTTTAGTATCTTTGTCAGATTTAACAATTCTTCGGTTTCGTATTTGTTTTTATATTTAAATGATCGATAAAATGTGCTTATAGATAGTTGCAATGTTGGATCAATATTACTTTTTCCTTTTTTATGGATGCATTTGCTCGTTTAACTTTATAATTATATTATATTATATAATATTATATTAATAATTATATTATTAATATTATATTATATTAATTATATTTATAATTATATTATATTACTATTTCGTTAGAACATATACTAGATTTTGATATATACTGTGTAAATAATATCCGAATTCATCTAGATGCA